GATACCTGAAATTTTAGTAGTAGCGGAGAATTTATCGAGAAGTTATCTTCAACATAGCTTCTGCTTGAATGGAAGTTGGGAAAGGTAACTAGAGCTGATGGAATATCGAAGCCTTGGTTAGCATCCGGTGGATATTCATCAATGTGTAAGAACCCCTGTACAAGAATCATGAATAAATTAAAAAATCATAAAATTTTGCATTAAAGATTTTGCTGAAGTGTTATTTAACATTCAAAGGAAGGTTATGATGTAAATCATGCCAAAGTTACCAATAAACAAACTATTTCTTTTGTACACAAAAGGGACACCATGGAAAAACTAAAAGTCAAACTGAAACAGACCTTGTCAAAATCTAAAGTCAATGCAACTGATTGCACACTGCAAGGATACCTAAGCATCAGTTCCAATGTTCCAGGAAACAGTTTGTCTTCTGAGGGGCTGACTTGAATCTTCTCAATCACATCTGAGACACTCTGAGGCTTTCCATCTATGAATACTTGTAGTGTATGATAATAAACCTTTACATACCAGGGAACAACCTGAAAAATAAGAACCTGCACATTGCACCCATGTGATTTGGCAAGGAACTCTTTGTTTGACTCGGTAGATTGCAATGATATAGCTATAGAGCCTCTTTCATTTCCACTTCCCATGAGAAACCTGCTTACATGAAATGGTGCTTGAGAGCAAGACCATATAAAAGGAAGCTTCCACTTCATACCCAAATCCAAAGGCTCATGCTCACTGTAGTTAATGAATTCATAAATAATGGAATTACTTCGACCTGGCAAAGGATTCGACTCTTTAAACACCCTAACCGGATTTGGAGACAAATCAAATATTGAGTTACTCCAAGAATCTCCATATCCCAGCTTCTCAAGTTCAACAACCATATTTGTCTCAAGTTCAAAGAAAATTCTGCTAGTTTTAGCAGGAACACAAAGTCCAGTAACATTCTTCTTGAACATTGAACTAACAGACCAACTAGGCTGAATGGATTTATCCAATGAAGAATGTGCAGAATTCCTTTGAACATCAGGTTTGAGCACAACAGTAAGTGTCTGTTTGAGAACTATACCAGTTGATTTAGTTGAGGTTAACTGCAATCTTTGAGAATGATAATATCCTTTATATATAGAAGGCCTGTCCAGTAAGGAAGCTAGCCCAGCCTTGTCACGACAAGGAAGAAGCTTTAACCAGGGAGTGAGATTTTCCGTACAAACTGCCTCACGGGGCAGTGCACCATATCTCAAGTTGCTGACATTTGACCGAAATGCCCAACTTGGAGCAAAGTAGGAAGTAGAGGACTCGAGAAAGTTGATCGAAGCACAAAATAGGCCTGAGAGGGCATGTGTAAGATCCTTCCAAGTGGCATCAATTTCCATAACAGGAAGATCAAAGAGAGCCCACAACTCAACCCCAGGGGGTTTGGCATTGGTGCTAGATATTGGATCAGATCCACCCCAGCTCTCATAGTTCCAGCGTCCTTGTGTGAAGGACAATTCCAGTTCCTTAATTTGGAATTTCTGGACCTGGTTCAAGTATCATGATATATAACAATATAGTTAGAGAAAGAACCAACACATCTAAACTTAAAAGTTTCTGGCACCTTGATGCAAGTCTTTCACCATAATTGTTCCTCTATCTCTATCTCTAAAGACATTAGACCATCAGTTAAATCTTAGCAAGAGAGAAGGTGAACAAAACCACAAACTTTTGGATCTATGTTCAACTATATTACATTAGAAAAAGAAAATATTTAACTGCAGTGGACATGACAGTTAGCGCTATAATAAACTTGAGACATATAATATATAATCAACAAAAAATATTTAAAATTACATGAGCAAACATGAAAAGAACAAGTGTCAAAGACCTTTTTGGTGCAATATAACAAAAAAATGTTTATCGATATAACATATACAGCTCTACATATGATCTTCGTGTATAACAGTCTGAAGAAAAAATTCACTTTAAATCGAAATTTGGTCCACAAGAAGAAATGAATATGCTTAAACTAGATTCAAGGAGGTGATCAATACAGATTTAAGAAATATCTGCAACATCTTGTTGACCTTTATTTGCTCCCATTACTTGCAAAAGCAATTTCCAGTAAATATGACAGGGCTACAGGCATCATAGCCAAGTAGAAAAGAAACTTGTTAAAGAAAATTACAGAATCACATTAAAGATTGATTTGTCAGCATAGAACAGGTGAATCAATTAAACCATGATAATAAAAAGACATTTAGATTGCTTGGTTAGTATAAAGCAAAAAAGTTTTGTACCACAATTCCTTGCCATGTGAGTTTATGTAACCAGTAGCTTCTAAGAGAATCTATATTATGATAAACAAGACCAACCAAAAGCTAATAATCAGTTTACTGCAAAACCTGAACTGACACAAAACAACTTGAGTCACTCTTATCAGTGATAAAATTTGTGATGCAGAACAAGTTATTGTACTTTTCTGCTACTTTCAGATAAACATCCTCATCATTCTTTTGGGGCTACTTCGGGGAAATATTCAGTCTCTTTTTTTTGGAAGTAGAATTAAGTTAGACAAGTTAATAAGTAATTCCAATGAAGTTCTAGAAAATCTACATGACATCTTCCTATTTTGATGTAAAAGATAGTTGCAATGAATTGTGACAATTTTTTTAAATCTTCTTTTGTATCCATTGTTCTTAATTTTAATTCTCATTAGCTGCTGCTTCTTGATGGGAGAAATATGGAATCTCACCAAAACCTTTTATACTATGCCAGAGATCTTAAAATACCTCTGAATTCTCACAAGAACCTGGCTGTTGCCTTACCTTATCCTGTCATATAAATCTACTTGGCCACTCTTGAACAAGCCAATGTTTTCCAGCTAGGAGTGGCGTCCAACCCAATCTCATTATAGCCATCCTGGAACATTAAAAGGCATACCTAGCTGTCTAACCATAAATTTTCTCACAAAACAACCTGAAAACCCACCACAAAGCTGTTGCTGATGCAGCAAATACATCATATAGATCCAAAAACCTTGACAATTAAATCCACTCTTTCCCTCATCACTACTTTCTAAATTTTAGCCTTGAATGTCAAAAACAAATCCTTCCTGAAACCCCTCCTTGTATCATGACTACATTGTTTTGGAAGAAAGTGCATAACAGTATAGCTAGACACTATGCCTTGTCCTTGAGTAGGCATCATTTCTTGCTATGTCAATATGTGGGAGAATTATTATTACTAATGCTTTCAGCTATTTTGCATTCTCATTCTCTCTTCCTCTCTCGTTATATAAATGTTCTCCTTCGTATTTGTTCAAGTACAGCATAACATTGTCCGATGTACAACAGGAAAAAAAAAAAGGCATTTGAAAACAAAACCATAATAGAGGGCAGAGATCAGAAATTTCCCATGAACACCCTCCTTTAGGCACTTAAGCAAATAGGTTTGACAATGCGTACAAATCGGTTCTTTTACCATCTATTTGAACAGATTTAAGATGGAAGGTGTGTTGTACTACTCAAATTCCCCTCGAAGTTTTAGCCTGAATCATGCACCTAAAATTAGGATGATGACAGTTTTAACCGCATTAATGGATCAGAAATGCAAACAATTGGATGAATAGCTCCAAACCAAATCTTTACTGGAACTCCAATCTTGGATCACGAAGGGAGGGATCGTCAGAGGAGTACCAGCTGCGCGATGGCCTTGGGGAAGAGATGGTGATGGCGACCATTGGCGGCAGAGGGAGGGACGGTGCTCTGGAAATGGAAGTGGGCGAGGACTTTCCGATCGGGCAAGGGCTTCAAGAAGAGCTCCTCTGAAAACTGCTCCCCTTCTTCTTCTACGCCTCCGCCGTCATCGTTTAGCCAGACGCCAGAGACTAGCGCAGGGATGCAGATGAGGAGGGCGAGGAGGAGGAGAAACGGAAAGGCGGCGGAATGGCGGAGCACTGCCATCAATGGCGTCGTCGGAGGAATGGTTTGTGAAAGGCACGTGCAAAACGCGTGTCTTAGGGAGAGGGGCAGCGCTGTGCTTGTTGACCAATCGTCTTGTTACATATCGGGCGAGACATATCGGTTTACGTGTCGTATGAGCCAATGGTCGTTTCGACATATTCCATTTTGATAATTAGAATTAGCTTAAGCCTCATTCTAAAAGCATAATAATAATAATAATAATAATAATAATAATAATAATAATAATAATAACAATAGGTGAGCACTATGAATTGGCATCTTTTTTGCGGTATAAGTAATTTAATTGAATTCTAATTATTAATCCCAACATATATAAATTTATATTGTTCATTACATATTAGATTTATTGTTTTAAGTCATAATTGCTGCTAAACGTGGGTTGGTCTTTGCTAATTTTAATATAAAAATTTAACTATGAAAATAGTTAAAAAAAAAAAAATTCACTAAAGATTCAAACCAAAGTCACTAAAATTTGACTTTCAAATAATTATATCATGAGTTTCATTTATGTCTTTTTTTTTCTTTAGTTAATTTAGATACGGAATTGTCAATTCGATTTCGGTTTTTAAGATTCAATCGGTTCAAACTAAACCAGGGCTAGTGATGGTGTTAACTTGAGAATTCTCCAAGTGTGTATACCATTCAAATCAAAACTCCAATGCCAAAAAATCTAAAACAATTGGTGAGAAAAGAGTTCAATAATTGGTATTCCTAGTGCAATCAATGAACATGAAGAAGAATCTAAAGCAGAAGAATTTGTGTACAACCATCACCATTTTAAATTTAAATTACCGGCATCAGTAGGAAAGATTGAGAACTGTTCCATTCTCCCTATGCTGGAACAAGGAACAAGATCAAGGAGACATTGTCAGCTAACTACTACTGGCATCGAGATGTAACCATAACAGAAGTCGCAAATCAATTTACGCAGAGTGAAATATTGACAAAGACTGTTTAGCTTGAGCATTGAATCACTTTTACATTAGAGTTCACATATCATCATTCTTTTTCATTCATTTCTACCAATCCACACACTGTGTTATACAAGCTACAGGTAATACATGTTCAATAGTAAATGACATAATCTGATGCCATGGATAGCTGAAGATTGTTTTGCTAACCACCTAAACTTTAAACTCTTCCGGGAAGAGCTTTAAACACTTCAGATGACACAGAAATTTAGAATCCAATATTCAAAATAGAGAATAACTCGAGCTTAACAATCTGCACAAGTATAGCAATGGTCAGAACAAATCTTCTGAAGATCATCCAGCAATAATTTTCCAGTCCTAAAACCAAACACGACTTGCAGTGCAATAGATCAATAAATTGTCGTGAACATAGAATCGGTCAGCCAAGTACACCAACACCAACACCAACAACAGGAAGCCATGACAATAACAACAAGAAGAAGCCACGGCATTCGAACTATTTTTTTGGGTTGGTAGCCTAGTGCTCAAAGTACATGATACAGGTGTTTCTCTTTTTGGGCAGAGGAGGTTGTAGTTGCAATTTGGTCATATAAAAACTGAGGTCGCAAGGAGCCATCATTGCTGAAATGGAGTAACTTGAGATTGTCCATTTAAGAAGATGAATGTGTTAGCTAGATACTGAACAATATAACTCAGCGGACTGTTATTTCTGCATGTCAAGAAGCAAAAGAATTTGATATATTATTAGTCACCCATCATTCTTACTGTAATTTAGCCTATAAAGATTAGAAACCTGCTTGTTAGGCAGCCCCTCTCAAATTCTGCAACGAATCTTTCATTTCAACTTGCTTTTGTGAGGTCACTTGCACAACCTACATGAACCGGCAGCTGATATATAAGCCAATTTTTTTTTCAAAAATATGATTTCAAGGATGTGAAGTTAAAACTTGTTATGCTTAAAATCCTTGCAAAAGCGAAAGGGTTAAGAAAAGCACTAACATTATTTGTCTTCTGTAGGTCATGCTCTATAGGCTGAATGTGATTTAGTGAATCTAGAATCATGTTATCTTTTTCTTGAGGAACCCTCTCAGGTTTCTCGTTTAACTCAGTTACCAGTTCTTCTAACATCTGCAGCCTCTCCAAGCATGGTAGGACAGGTGATTCTGTGACATCATGTCTGGCGAGGTGGTTCATGGAATTTGCGTTTGTCGGATCAAGTCCATGATGATCTGAAGACTTCACTTTAACCAGATCGATGGCATCATTTTTCAGTCCAAAAAATAAATATAAAACAGCTAGCACTTTCGTGATGAACTTTCCGACAGCACCTATCACTAGCATAAGCAACTTGGATAATGAGTTCCCTCGGGTGGAATCATCAACCAGACCACCTGCATAGGAAAACCAAACACTCAGCAAACTGTGATTAATTCCTAGAAAAAATGCTCAAGGCTCACTAGTCATGCGTGCTACCAAACAAATCTATATCATAGGCATTTGATGCTAGATTCTAAACAATGTAAAGTTGAGAGACTTGCAATGTTCTTTGTGTGACCAGATATTTATCTGTAACAATATACGCAGATCAAGGACTGACAGATGCTGGGAAAAATTTTAAGTAATTTGTAAGGTTAATATTTGAAACAACAGATGGAAAAGAAATGATACAAGGAAAACACTTTCACATGCTTGAATGTTTTTTTTGTCCCTGACATGTTTAGTAGTTAATCATCTTAAAGATTGAGATTTAGTAATGCTAGCTGTTGTATTAAAGGTAATCAAATTGCAGATCATTGCCTTGTCACATTTAATTAAGAAGTGCCTAATATTTTCATGATATCCATCTGAGCTGTTAATTGAATTGGAACCACTAGTTGACCAAACATGAAGGTTTTTTAAACTACAATGGCATTTTGGCAGACTTAGTATTCTCTGAAACGTCACTCTCAGCCCCATGTAACAAAAGCCCATCTTTTGCTAGTAATTTTGATCCAAGGGCCCTTAATTTGTTTTAATTAGTTGATTATAATCATATATGAGCTAATAAAAGCACTGTAATTGTCCAAAATTATAAAATGAATAAAAAGAGTAACTGAAAAGCGGTACAGCAGAGTAGACAAGGTAATAAAGTTCACACTCGTTTAATTTTTTAGAAAGAAACTTTAAAAAGAGAGAGTTGCACTTGAACAGAAACTGATTTTATCTTTGACATCAGTATATGGCCAAAACTATTTTTCATTCAATGGTCAGTCACATCTTAATTTTATAAGAAAAAGAAAATTATGTAACTTACTCTATCCACCATGCTGTTATCCAGAAACGCCTATGGGTATATCTCAATGTCCACTGTACTGTTACTCAGAAGCAACAAAATTTTCTCAGCTGTTTTTCAGTAAGGCCCATGGGTATATTTCTATATCTGGTGCATTGTTATTCAGAAGCACAATTATTTTCTCAAATTTTGAACTTGGTATCTATCACAATCAAACATGGCGAGGAACTTCCCAAAGTGTACCTTTTCTTTACTGAACTTCAGGGGTCTTGCTTGCAACAAGCATCATGCTGGTTGTTAGATTCTATTCACAAGACAATATAAACTTGCATCTCTTTCCTTACATCAAAGTTCTTCTCAAACAATTAAAGATTAAAAAAATATCATGCTAAGTTATTGATACAATCAACATTTATTTTCTTTCTGGTGATGCCTGATGGTACATAGGTTTGTATATTGTTTGGTAATTTTGTATGACACTGATCTGCTAGATTGTTCGAAGCAATATCAGACCACTAACTAAAATCTTGGTTTCAACATTCAACAATTATTTGGAATAACTATGACAAGACTTTTTAAGAGCAAGGTAAACAAAAATATATGAACAATTGAATCTTCACTTACTATTCTTCTAAAATGTTACCTTCCTGATACCAATTAATATTCCAAATTAATGAAAACCTTAGTTGATGTATAAGCGTATGGGTCTCCATTATTGAAAAAGCAAATGGCGCATGCTTAGAATCTACAAAAATATGCAGACATCGGTTTACACTGATCATGAGGTTTTCATAATTGTTCCATGTATGAACATCCCAGCAAAGCATTGGTGTGATACATATGGAAATTCTGTACATTCATATGATATGTGCATGTCTGCATATTGAATTTGGCACATGTAAACATCTATTCCACATGCCCATTTGGTTCCATCACAGTATCTTAACATTGAAGTGACTTCTTGATATTTTTGATAGCTATATGTGCTGATGTACAGTCACCAAGAACTTATATCTACAAAATGTTCTAACATTTTACAATTCAATAATAAAAAATGAATATATAAGTTAAAAAGGCATGCAGAAAACTGTGACTATGATGCAGCATTAAACACCCTTGATACAGTCCATTGCAACCATGGAAAATTAAGTTCTAAAAATCTTTGAAAAATAAAAATAGAAATGCATATTGATGAAATGAAGTACCTCCAAGTTGATCACAAAGTTTGGTTTGACTAGTTGGGCTGTTTGAAGGCATGTTTTCATCTGTCGTGATTTGAGTACTCTGACAGAAATGCACACAACTCAATAGTTAATATCAGTGTAGCTTTTGCATTCATAATCATATGTCATATACCCATAAAACAAGTACTATAAATTATAAAGTATGAAGTACCAAGTAGTATGTCCTGTTTCACAAGAGAAGTTCATTACAGATTTCCTTGGTGCATGGCTCTGCATGATCATGGCTCGTGCTTAATACCATTGCATTGGAAACTCTAGATAAAGTTTGGTGTTATGCAAATACATGAATTATGATGTCCATCAAGTTCCAGTTTACACTTAAAAGGACTTGGAAACATGACTTGAAGATATATTTCACATACTTACAGTGAAGTATGTGCACCGTGGAATTTGGTCATAATAGGTTTTGTTGATTGCTATGAACTGGTTGGGTGCAATTAACATGGCAAAGATGAAGGAAATGCTATAGTAGTGCCTCATTGAGATTCTACATAAAGTGGAGAGGAGGTCTTAACCCTTTTAGACTTTAGGATTAATGTTCCTTTATCAGCTTGTTGTTCTTCACTTTTTCTCTTTTTTGGACTGAATTTTTTTAAAATTATCTGCATTTCTTTTATTTCCAATCTTCTTACTAAGGTTTTTCTTGTTATCTTTACTTCATCTACTTAATAAAAACAAAAGAAATTTAACTGTAATCTTCATTCTCATGTGAAACCGAAATGAATCATTACTCTATGGGATTAGGTATTAATGGTTACAAAATGGATAAATACATTATTAAGTTTAACCTAGTTTATGACTCAAAAAAACAGTGTATAATGGGAAAGCAAAACAACATCAGCAAAAGAATATCCTAACGTGAGACATTCTTGATTATAAGCATGGAGCATCATCTTTGAATATTGTAAAATGATGAAATTATATTATAGGCTGCCAAATGTACCATAACAATAGAGGAACAATGGAAATAAAAGTTGGGTAGGAGCGTAAATGAAGTAGACAGAAGCAATCAAAGAAACAAGCATACCCACTGATAACACATGCAAACAAATACATCTTGTGTGCATGAGTGGATTAAAAAAAAAGTAACACGAGTGCATATGACACAAGTGTTCATTTTCATCATCATGTACATCCTCAAGTTATGTTCAGAAAACGCATGCACAATCACTCAAACCATGTTTCAGAAACAAACAAACAACGCACTCACAGGGATACACAGAAGGAATCCCAAGCCAAGAAGACAAGTAGATACAAGAAAACTGACATTTTCATATGCTGGAGTTGTCGGCATGTCAGGCTGTGGAATTGGTTGAATAGGAGATACTGCATCTTTGGTATCTGACTTCACCTGAATGGTACCTTTTTTGAACATTGCAACCTGCAAATAAGGTGATACACTACATGACTATGATAGTTGTCTTACATAGACTACTGAAACCATCTACCACCTGAAGAAAATGAAACTTAACCTGGCGATTCAATTTCTTTTCACCCAATAAATTCCCTCCAACCTTTGAGCTTGCCCTTTCAGATTGAACTGACTGGAAGACAGGTAAAAGAAATAGCACACTGTTGGTTTTAGGTAAAGACTAAGGGCACAAGAAGAACTATCTTCTTCTAACTTGTAAGACATATTTAAGAATTTAAATTGTTCTCACACTTATTATCTGGGGATCACTCCATGGTCCTTTATTGGATGTAAGACATCCTCCCTCATTAGAACAAGTGCAAGAGCCACCAAGAAAAGCAGGAAGTTGACTGTCATCAACAAAAGGAGAAAATGAAATGAATTTCATTAACTGTCATTACAAAAAGAGAAGATGAAATGGATCCCAAGTCCAGAACCCAAAACCACAGAGCATTTAGCAGATATGACTAAATTTACACAGAGAAGAATGTAAACCTCATCTCAATTGATTCAAGTAAAGTATTCTGATATGTATCTCCTAATACCTGCAAAATATGGTGAAAGACTAAATTTACTGCATAAAATGGTGGGCAACAAGGATACATTAAAAAAAAATCTACCACTATCTTAGCTGATGTCCTTGGATCAATTATGCCTTTTATAGTGTTCCAAAGTAATCTGCAACCGCTTCCAGCATTTACAATAAACAGCTTATGCAATATCTGCAAAAATGAGATAGATTATAGGAAGTAGGTTGATTGTCTTGTATCAAATTCTATGTTGTTTATACAGTACGACATATATCACCTCAGGGTAATTATCACTATCAACTTTCTGGATTCGAAGAACAACATCACGAGCTAATTTGCCAACACTCATCCAGTTCTGAATAATCAAGTTGGACAGGAAAAAGCAGTCACGTATATCATGTAAACTCGTTCAAATTGTCAGGTAAAACAGTAGCCACATACCACTCCTTGTGCATCTAAAACTGTTGTCATAGTATCAACATGTCTTTTGGCTGCAACAGAGCATGCTGGGTATTTCTCAGTAAGTACCTTCTCTATCCCCTGAACATGGTACCTCACAAATCTTTCAACTGTAGTAACACTAAGAAGTTTGTTGGGGTCGACTTTCCCAAGTCTTTCTATATAAATAGGTCTTCCATCTTTGTCCACACCATGAAAACCATGTGGATAATACTGAAGAACTTTTTCCAGTTCATCATACACAAAGTCCTAAATAGCATTAATCTGTTAGGCAATCAAAACCACAACAAGTGATAGCTTAGAAGTAAAGCCCTTTGACATGATACAGGCTTAAATTCTGTATTGCTACTAAACTGGTTCTTCAATAACAGGAAAGAAAGAAATATAGAATAATAAAAACAAAGCATGAACTCCTGATTCTATAATATTCATTTCTTAAATATCATTACTATGCATTATGAAATTTGGACTCGCTATTTGTTATTTTAAGCTAAAGAATAAGTACTCTTCTGCATATATTTTTGGCTTAAGATCCTTTTATCTGGTGGAAGTACTCTGTTGTGTGAATAGGTTTGCAAGTTGCAGGTCTGTTTTGAGAAGCAGAATGTGTAACACTTGTGTGGATACTACCTTAATAGGTGTTCAATCAAATTAAAATTTCAGGATAACAGAACTGTGTTTGGAACCGAACTATGTAAAAGTTTATATCAAGACACTTTGTACATCTGACTATCATACACATAAACGTAGAATATAAAAGCTATGATCCAGTTATTCTTACTTGCAGGATAGTATCAGCACCGAAGTCCTTCCTCCACTGGAGCATCTCCGACCACATTCGGGTCGCTTTCTCAATATTGAGCCCACGTGCCTTCAAAAATCTGCAGAAGCCAGAATTCAAATAAAAGTGTCTAGAATGTTTGAGATTGAAGAGGGAAAGTGGGAGGGGAGGAGTGAAAAATCAATCTGAAATAGATTACGAAAAGTATGAATCAGGTTAAAGTTTTAAACTATGAGATGTTCTCAATGCATTTCAATTTGATCAATTCCAAGAATAGTTTGATCAGGGAATAGGTATTAGGGCAAATATTACTAAATATCTCATTTGATCTAAGCATTCTTGGGATGATCCAGACTAATTGGAATGTGTACCTAATAGGTATAAGAAATTACAAGATTCACATGATTATACATATACAGTACCAACTTCCATCCCTTCCTCTATCAATCATCTTCTAAAGCAATTTCCTAAGTGCTCAATGAAAGATCTTGGTAGCACAAGGCATAAGAATATAATTCCCAAAAGCACACATCTTCTCCATGAATTGGTGAATAGGCTTAATGAAGCTCCTAAGTATGAGCCAAATCTTTGTTACTAATCTATCAGCATGATGCAAGGAAAGAGAATATGTGAGCTTTCTATGAGGATTCCTTTTTTTATGGGCTCCAACGCATAAGGCTATCTGCCGAATTTTTGGAGACAGATTAGAACTTCAACTAGTTGGTAAAACATAAGGTTGCGATCTGGGAGGCTAGAGTTTAAGTCATGGAAACAATTTCTCTGTAGTTAGAGGTAACACTACATACATTGGTACTCCCAGATCCCACTTTGGCAGTAGCCTCATACACTGTGTACATCATTTACTAGAACCTCCACTAGGAAGGATCCAGAGTCAGTGTTTCCACTAGTTTGTCTATGATTCTTGCATAGACATACAACAGAGGTACAAGTACCAGAGTTTGGAAGGATATGCATGGAAATATGTGTTTTGCAGACAGGAATATCATAGATAGACATAATTTACACATTTATAGACGTATATATGAAATACACATACAGTTATGCCCCATAAACGGAGTGCATGCAAAGGAAATGAGCTCAAGGAGAAAGTTATGTTTATAAGCTAACCATTCAAAAGAAAGATTGGATTCAATCAGATGATATAAGAGGGCAAGACATTTGAATTTAAGAGGGGGGCAAGAGCATTCCTCCTAAGCATGAATTGATAATAGTGGAAAGGTGTACGACTTATGTCTTCATAAATCTGGATAATGTAGAAGATTGTTGCAAAAAGAAAATTATATTTAGAAGTGGATCCAGTGATGACAACTTGGAAAACCATTTTTCAACATGACATTCCTCTTTAATCACACACCATTCATTCAAAGAAACTAACATATTCAGGATTAGGAAAGACATGCAGTTAAGAAGCATCATCCTTAAAACAGAAACTGTACATGCTATCTAATCATAATAATGTGAGTTAATTTTGCAGAGGAAATTGTTAGCATTTGTCACGAGAAGACTGATAAAGAGTTTGATACAAGTTTAAACATTTTCTAAATAAGAAACTTTACGAAAGAGTGATGACGAACAACTAAGTTGGGTTTATGAACATCTACAACTTAGCTCGTTAACATTCATTGGCTTGTACAGTCTAATAGAATTCTGGTGCAAATGGCCCAATATATAGATTTATCACATTGTGTCCTTTGTATACAAGGCAAGGATTAAGCATATGCTCATGGGCATGGTCAATTTACACAACAATGAAGAATCTTCCAAATTTATGCAGAAGTTAAACTCAGAAAGCAGAGGCATCCAATGGCAATTTTGCAAGCATAAAGATATCTAAGATGATTCAATGTGTGGCATGAGTAATAACTGCAGAAGATATGCAGATGGATTAAATTCCAAGTACGGAGATATTTAAAACAGAGATCAGGTTCAGGAGTGGAACCCATCTATTCTAGCAAAATATTTGCAATGTCTTATCTCTCCACCTCTAAACGCTAATAAAGCTTGAAAGATAGTAGTTTCATCTGTCATAAAGAAATCGGCAACTTATGGTCGCTCTATACCATGACAATTGCCGTAGCTTACCAGGAAAACGCTAACAATGAAAAGCTAATGCCTTGTGCAGAACCACCTAATCGAGGCAAAGAGGGCATCAAGCTAGGTAGCAAGGCAACATGACATAGGAAGCCCTGTATGTCCCTGTTCGGTAATGCAAGTTCTCCATTTCCCGACTAACACGATTCTCAAATCTCACGACCATCATTATAATCCCAAAACTTAATGTTCCATAATATTTTTTTCTGCAACTCATTAAATTCCATCTCCGTTCCATGATCACCTCCACCACGTAATTCCGATACTCCAATTCAATAACACTCGATTGCTCGTTGTACGAAAGATTGGCGTTATAATCTAAATCCATCATCAATCAACGAAAACGATATCTCGATGTACAAAATGAGATCCGTAGAAGAAAGATGAACTAATCGGTACGAGATCGACGATCGATACCGACCGCAACATGGTGTGGTAGTCGTCATGACAAGGCGGTAGCAGATTCCGATCGATCAAGACCTTTCGGAAGGCCTCCACGATCGCCTCCTCCTCCGAGGCATCCATCCGATCCTCCGCGACCGTGGCCACGGCCTGCGGGTCGGCCTTCTTCCATTTGCCCCTCCTCCTCGCGCCTTCGGAGGCACCGGTCCTGGAGAAAGAAGAGATCATGTCGATGTCGTCGTCGGCCTCTCCCCGCCTCTCTCGATAGTTCCAATTCCCTTGGGTCTCTCCTCGCGTGCCCCCAAATAGGATCGACAGCGAGGGAGGGAGGGAGGTGGCGAATATATTCTCCTCCGAATTGAATTGGTGCGGGTCGTGCGATGCGGTGAGGGGTGAGAAGGGAACGGATGGGCGTGCGAGGCACGTGGATAGCGAGAGGTGGCGCCAATTTGCGCGGCGTTGGATTCCTATTCTCGTTGTGCCGAACGGAGGAAATAAAACACGGACGGTAAATGGGACCATTCACTAACGCATCACGCGCTCCACCGCATTCTACCCGCGTGGGACCCACCGTCGGCTCCACGTCCTATCTAACTCGGTGTTTCACGAATCTCAAAGCACTTGGCTTTAATTTTGCAATGCTATGGCTCACCAGCCCATCCGACGGCAGCGGAGAAACGAAAAGCTGAACCCTGTCCAACCCGAGGTAGCCATGTGAGCATCGTGCGATGAAATGTTTATTTTTGTGTTCTGCTGCGTGATCTGAGCCGGGCTGATTCGGATACGCTGTAGCTATCGTATAGGGGACAGTTCCTGAGGTCACCTATTTCAAGTTCGGCGACGAGCAAAGCATGGTCGTCCTTAGGTTTCAAGTCAACAAAATACTCTCTATTAAGATGGAAATTACATATAATGGAATTTTCCCATATTCCACAACAGTAGGAACATTATATGTTGGACTTTTTTATATATATATATATATATAGATATATTATTATTGTTATGTTTATCAACTATACAAAATAATACAGAAATCATTATTCTCTGAGAAGACATTCTGTGGCTAAAGTATGATGTGCAAAAGAACTATACATAAGCAAAGACTACTAAATTTGAGGGTTCTATGTTATTAAAGCAATGCTCGTAAAGTTGATGAGCATATATGACTGACTGAGATCAAGTCATGGCAGGAGGAAGTCGCAATCAATCTCTTAAATGAACACGGAATGAGTAAGATTGTTGGATATGCACTTAATTACGTGAGCTGTGATCGGACCGGTGGTCAAATTCATGTGCATAAGAGTCCTTTGAATTCAAATCTTCGTAACATCTTTTAATATGATACTAAACACGAAGCTTAGAGAGAGTTTCGTCAACCTCGACTCGAGAGAGAGAGAGAGAGAGAGAGAGAGAGAGAAAGGACGTACAGAGACAGACGAACATCGTCCTCGTCGACACACGAGCAGAGACAGAGGAAGGAATCTGGTCGGTCTCACGCCAAATTGAAACGTAAAAGCTGCTGTACCCTTTGGCCGATGCCTATTCTTGCAAGAATCATCAGCAAGAAACCCCGGTCACAATCGCTTTCTCCCACGCCCAATAGCAACTTTTGCATGTGACCTCCACGCTACCCCATGCCCCGTCTCCTCATGTGTCGCCGCCCTCGACGCGTCCCAGGAGTTGTCCATTGTCGTTTCCTGTAGCAGGAGCAGGTGAAGCAGCAGCAGCACTTCGAGTTGCAATGGTAGCGAGGGGAAAGCACTTGTTGCACCTTTGAAATGGCTGCAGTTGATCGAATCCTACCATGGCCTGAGAGATTTATCGGTTCTATTTTCCCTCTCTAGTCAGCAAGCTGCCATTTCAGGCTTCTTGCAGCGATTACAGCTGATTCAACCCTGGTATATCTGGACTGAGATTTAGGTGCTCGGTTTTCTCTCTCCACCATCTCGAGCAATATGAAATGGACAGCAGACTCAACAGGCTACCACTTCAGTTTTCTTGAAGTGGCTGCAGTACCAAGTAGTGATGTTTAAGTGTTCAGTGTGATGACTAGCTACCACTCGAGAGCTTAATTTTCTCGCACTTCGATCTGCAGTCAGAAAGCTACAGCTTTGAGAAGTGCTTTTGGATTGTCCAGTTGCTGGTTTCAAAACATTTTGGCACGCAAGTTCGAAAGCTACAGCTTTGAGCTCACATATATGGTTGATTTCTTCCGATGCAGAGATATGTGGATGTGACATCTGCTTCGTCTCATATACAGGGTTGAGATGTCTCGTACACAACTCATCAATCCTTCGTAGAAGAGCTCAATTCGCGGGCATCATTACACGATGAAATGTATAACTCATCTGTATGAGTTCCAGATTGTTTGGCTCACTCATGGCCTTCTCGATGGACGGCTATATCTGATCTGATACGAATCAGACATCCCCGGGAGAGCTGCGTGGGTAAACAAGCATCAAGATGTCAGTGGTGTATGGATGCTCAAAGCATCCTCTTCGACCAACGTCTGGAGCATCTTCTTTTTATTCTCCCATGGTGTATATGATTTGTAGTGCCATGTCGCGACGCAGCTATGCAAGCAAAATTTGGGAAGGGGTCGCGCCCTTCCTTGCTCACAGAAGCTAGCGGACATGGACGCAACAGTCCCCGATAACGTGACTCTCCTCTTCCTCGTCGCCTTTCCTGTATTTTGGTGCTATCCTTCCATCAATTCCAAGTGTGTGCTGTAACATAACACTCGGATGCCTCAGTTCCTGAATCCAACCAGCCGGCAGAAGAAGACAGCCGAAGTCAGTCCAAGAAACGCACAGGTAGGTAGATTGGTCCATAGATACATAGCAGCAGCGGCTGCAGCTGCTGCTGCTTGCGGCAAAGATGATGATGGTGATGAGATTCACTGACTTCCTCCTCCTCCAAATCCTTGTAGCGGTAGTCGCCTGCGCCGTGGACCTGCCGGCGCCGCTGAACGACGAGGTGCTGGGTCTCATCGTCTTCAAGGCGGCGCTGGAGGACCCGACGGCGGCGTTGGCGTCGTGGAACGAGGACGACTCCACCCCATGCAGCTGGGCGCATGTCGAGTGCGACCCGGCCACGTCCCGGGTGAGCCGCCTCGCCCTCGACTCGCTCTCCCTCTCTGGGCCTCTTCCCCGTGGCCTCGACCGCCTCCCCGCCCTCGTCGCCCTCTCCCTCTCCAATAACAACCTCTCCGGGCCAATCCCGCCGGGCCTCTCCCTCCTCCCCGCCCTCCGCTCCCTCGACCTCAGCCGCAACGCCTTCTCCGGTGGCCTACCCGACGACCTCGCCCGCCTGCCCTCCATCCGCTCCCTTGACCTCTCCTCCAACGCCCTCTCCGGCCCCCTCCTCAGCTCCATCTTCTCCAATGCCACATGTGGCACCCTCCGCTTCCTTTCGCTCGCGAACAACCGCCTCGAGGGCCCCTTGCCTGCCGCATTGTCCCGCTGCTCCTTCCTCCTCCAGCTCGACCTCTCCGGCAACCGGCTCTCCGGCGCGCCGGACTTCGCCACGGGCCTCTGGTCCCTCTCCCGGCTGCGAGTGCTGGACCTCTCTCTTAATTCTTTCTCCGGAGGAGTCCCTGAGGGGATCGCGCGCCTGCATACCCTTAAGAGCCTCCACCTGAACGGCAATCGGTTCTCGGGGCCCATCCCGGCCGGCGTCGGCCTCTGCCCGCATCTCAGCAGCTTGGATTTGAGCTACAACTCGTTCGTCGGAGCGCTTCCGAGCTCCATGCGTTACCTCCATTCTCTGACATCTCTCAGCTTGTCGAACAACCGGCTGTCCGGCGACATTCCGTCGTGGATCGGCAACTTGACAGCCATCCAGCACTTGGACTTATCCGACAACAAGCTCACCGGAAACCTGCCGTCTTCGCTCGGCGGCCTCACAGATCTGAATTATCTGAGCCTAACCACTAACATGCTCACCGGAGCCATCCCCGACTCGATCGCAGGATGCACGAAGCTCACCGAGCTCCATCTGAAGGGGAACGGCCTCGATGGCAGCATCCCGAAGGGGCTGTTCGATCTGGGGCTACAGGTTCTCGACTTGTCATCGAACGGGCTCACCGGAACAATGCCGGCAGGGTCGACGTGGATATCGGAGACGCTGCAGTCACTGGATCTATCGGATAATAAGCTCACCGGCACCATTCCGCCGGAGATGGCGCTGTACTTTGGTCTTAGGTACTTGAACCTCTCATGGAACGACTTCCGCACCCAGCTGCCGCCGGAGCTTGGCTTCTTTCGGAACTTGTCGGTGTTGGATCTCCGCAGAAGCGCGTTGTATGGGTCGATCCCCGGAGATCTTTGCGAGTCCGGTAGCCTCTCTGTTCTGCAACTGGACGGCAACTCTCTGACCGGCCCCATCCCCGAGGAGATCGGCAACTGCTCGTCCTTGTATCTTCTGTGAGTAGCTAAAATCGCTGTGCTTCTCTATGTTTCCCATCCAAACAGAGACGATTCTGATCGGATTCGTTGATGTTGTTTAGGAGCTTTTCCCATAACAGCTTAAACGGATCGATTCCGGCCTCCATGGGCGAGCTAAAGAAGCTTGAAATCCTCAAGCTGGAGTTCAACAACTTGAGCGGCGAGATACCGCAGCAGCTCGGCCGCCTGGACAACCTCCTCGCCGTAAACATATCGCACAACCAGTTCGTCGGTCGGCTTCCGGTGGGAGGCGTATTCCAGAGCCTAGACCAGAGCGCGCTGCAGGGCAACCTCGGCCTCTGCACTCCCCTGGTGGCGGAGCCATGCAAGTTGAACGTCCCCAAGCCGTTGGTGCTCGACCCATACGCTTACATCAATGGCAACAACAACGACAACGACGTGCCCACCGTCGCGAACCCGGCGGTGTCGATGCGGCACAGGAGGTTCCTTAGCGTGTCGTCGATCGTCGCCATCTCGGCTGCTCTCGTCATAGTTCTCGGGGTGGTGGTGGTCACTCTGCTCAACATTTCGGCTCGGAGGAGGATTGGGCTCCTGGAGAACGCCTTGGAGAGCATGTGCTCGAGCTCGACGAGATCGACGGGACCTGCCGTGGGGAGGATGGTGGTGTTTGGCCCCAGAAGCAGTCTGAGATCAGAGGATCTGGTTGGTGGCGCCGAGGCCTTACTGACCAAGGCGACCGAGCTAGGGAGGGGAGTCTTCGGCACGGTCTACCGAGCATCGATCGGAGGAGGAGGGACGATCGCCGTCAAGAAGCTCTTGACGGCTAACATAGTTCAGTACCATGACGACTTCGATCGCGAGGTTCGGATACTGGGCAAGGTGATGCACCCGAAT